TTTTCACTTGGTGTGCAATTCTTTTTTTACGAGATTCTATTCTATTATAAAAAGTTTAAGTAATTAAAAATGGATAACAAATATTGTCTATGTCCCTCGTAATTTTATATTAGAATATTCGAGAAAGTTTAGGGGAGATCACTCCCGGTTTATTTTATCTTACTACATCCCCTTAGTTTCAAATCGTTTAAAAACTATATTATCTGCCCCTAATAGCCTTCACTAGATCGACCAGCTCTACGATTGTAAACATTCATCTGTACCACAGCTCGCCAGACTGTTAGGGTGATCGCGTCTAGCAAGTTATCTCCCCTTCTGTTATTGAATATATTAATATATCAAGTGATTTAATTTTGTTATCTCCCCCATAGTTTCGAAACCGTGTGATTGATTTATAATGACTTATTAAGCATCTAATTAAATTAACAAATAGATAAACTTGTATTGTAATCGAAGTGGAATGTATCAGAAGAATCGGAACGAAGTCGTTACATTAGAAGTGGGTCAAAATTGAGTCACAAGTTTTGCCAGAAACCCACAAACAAACAGACGTTGCGAGCTAAATAAAAGCTTGTAAAAAACCCAGTCAGTATACAACAAACCTAAGTACACAAATGTCAACGTTTTGTTGTTTGATCCGTGCAACATAAAACGTCTTGTGTTTACCTCGTCCAGTTTTTTACTAAACCCAACCTATTGTTTACCAACCTTCGAATTCCTGAGTTAATCACCCCAACCCCTCCGTCCCCCCTACCCCACCCAGCTTCCGCCTCTAAGACAGACATCCATTTAGATTAAAAATGTAACTCAATACATCTTTTACGATTTTAATATCGTTTTTTTTTTCTGGAACTTATTTCACGAATCAGTCCAGTTTGTGATGCGCTCAAAAACTTTCAGGAAAGTTTGTATATTGATACATTCGCTTACATGAAACCTGCTGTCATCCGTCAGTCATCTGTCAGTCGTCTGTCAGTCGTCTGTCAGTCGTCTGTCAGTCGTCTGTCTTTCACATTATTTTTTAAATCAGAAATATAATCACAAATTACTCCTAAAATTTGTTTTTCACAACTTAAGCAATTTTTGTAATTTGAGGGAACTAATGCTAGAATGTGAGGGAACTAGTGCTAGAATGTGAGGGAACTAGTGCTAGAATGAGAGGGAACTAGTGCTAGAATGTGAGGGAACTAGTGCTAGAATGTGCGGGAACTAGTGCTAGATTTTGAGGTCAAGTGACGTCACTAAAACCCTTCACCGAGATATTTGTTGACCAACCTTGAAAAAAAAAACGCCACAGATTACAAACAGTGCAGACAAGAACGTAAATCGATCTTAATTAATTAATTTTTTTTTCTTTTTTCAATGTTTACAAGCTGGTCACAAAAATCACTTTAATTAAGTAGTTTTTGTGAAAATTTGAAATTTATTTGCAAGGTGGAAAAGGTGGAAAAAAATGAATAGACCAATCCTATTATCCTCCTATGTAAGACAATATTTTCAATTCGGTTAATCAATTATTTACATGGTAACATAATTGAAAAAATCGTTTAATTTAATTTTCTGTTATGTATTAAATATCTAGTGGTAATTTGACTTCTTTGGATAATTAGCATTACGAAATTTTCTGACTTAATTTTTGTCAAATTTGTGTGAAAACACAATACAGAAAATAGGCTACGTGGTCAAGTTTCATACGTATTTTTAAAAATATAAAACAAAAACAATTTTACACAGAAAATGTTGACTTAAAAAAGCAGACAGATTATTTGTAGCAAACGGTTGACTTAAAAAAGCATCAAATTATTGGTAACTCAACAAGATTTCGAGGGTTGTATTTCTCTATAAATTTTATGTCTATGTGATCGTATTTCTTTTGAAAAATTAGACAGTTTCTTTTTTATTTATTAAAACTCCTCTTTCAATGTTCCTTATTCATTGCTCTTTATTCAATGTTCTTTATTTATTGCTCTTTATTCAATGTTCCTTATTAATTTTTCTTTATTCAATGTTCCTTATTCATTGTTCTTTATTCAATGTTCCTTGAGCATTGATTTTATTGTTGACAACAAGAATGACAACTAAAGCACCAATCACAATCACGACACTGACAAAGATGTTCCCAAACGTACGATATGAAAAAGGTAACTTCCGGTTTCGTTTTGGTTTTTCCGATGTTAATTAGTTAATTAGTGTTAACGGAATCTAAATCCAAGTCCGGCAATCAGCTCAGCTGTCACGATTGCACTTTTGTCCCAGAGTTTTCTCCCATGCTGTTTAGATGTTGTTCAGGTTTTCTTGGGTTTGTTAAAGAAAAATTAAACTTAACTGTTGTTTGACCACTGTTATACTCACCATTGTCTCACCTATGTTAGAGTTACCATTGTCTCACCTCTGGTAAACTCACCATTGTCTCACCTCTGGTAAACTCACCATTGTCTCACCTCTGGTAAACTCACCATTGTCTCACCTATGTTAGAGTCACCATTGTCTCACCTATGTTAGAGTCACCATTGTCTCACCTCTGTTAAACTCGCCATCGTCTGCGTAATATGGTAGAAATTAAAGTCTTGTGATAAAAATGCATCACATTTACTTATGTATGCCCCACCCATCGGCAACACCCCTGACCATCGGCAACACCCCTGACGTTACAGTTGCCTATCAAGCTTATTACTGTAAACAGCAGATCTTTATTTACAAAACATGACCTAATTTCTAAAGAAATAATCGCCGTGAAGAGATCTACTGACGATAAAAGTGCTCCCACTTTAGCGACAACTTTTTGTGCACCGTTTCTGGCGCACTATAAACGAAACAATTTTCGCAACTTTTCAACCCACCTGAAGACAACATGGCAGATATTGTTCGTATTTCGTCCTTTAAAACCGTTTCCACTTTTTAAGATCGTGACTTTATTGGGTCACCTCGACCTCGCGTCATCCCTTGTTTACTGATAGTAATTATCTCTTTCACGGCTAGAATGTTCCAGAATATTTAAAAAAAAAATGAGACAGAGTTCAAGGGCGTGGCAGAGGTTAAGGACACGAGGTCTAGAATTGTTTCACAACAAGGGAGGTAAATCACAGTAAATTACTGGCTTTTCGTTTCCTTGGGAAAAACCGGCTTTTCCTCTTGGTGCCGTTATTTAAGGATAGTTTTTCTTAATTTCTAATTTATTACACGATTTATGATGTCAGTCACATTAAAATATCACGGGCCATAGTTTTTAATGTATGACAGTCAATGATGCTGGTTTTTAAGAATATAGATTTCATACAGAATCGGTTAAATTAAAATATTATTTAAGAGATTTTTTCACTTGCTTGAAATTTTAAAAAAAATCCGGATATTTATTTGAGGCTGTGTGACTGAGGTTATGTGACTGAGGTTATGTGACTGAGGTCATGTGACTGAGGTCATGTGACTGAGGTCATGTGACTGAGGTTATGTGACTGAGGTTATGTGACTGAGGTCATGTGACTGAGGTTATGTGACTGAGGTTATGTGACTGAGGTTATGTGACTGAGGTTATGTGACTGAGGTTATGTGACTGAGGTTATGTGACTGAGGTTATGTGACTGAGGTTATGTGACTGAGGTCATGTGACTGAGGTTATGTGACTGAGGTTATGTGACTGAGGCCATATGACTGAGGTTATGTGACTGAGGTCATGTGACTGAGGTCATATGACTGAGGTCATGTGACTGAGGTTATGTGACTGAGGTCATGTGACTGAGGTCATGTGGGACTGAGGTCATATGACTGAGGTTATGTGACTGAGGTCATGTGACTGAGGTTATGTGACTAAGGTCATTTGGGACTGAGGTTATGGGACTGAGGTTATGGGACTGAGGTCATATGACTGAGGTCATGTGACTGAGGTTATGTGACTGAGGCCATATGACTGAGGCCAAATGACTGACGCCATATGACTGAGGTTATGTGACTGAGGTTATGTGACTGAGGTTATGTGACTGAGGTTATGTGACTGAGGTCATATGACTGAGGTCATGTGACTGAGGTCATGTGACTGAGGTCATGCGACTGAGGTCATGTGACTGAGGTCATGTGACTGAGGTTATGTGACTGAGGTCATGTGACTGAGGTCATATGACTGAGGTTATGTGACTGAGGTCATATGACTGAGGTTATGTGACTGAGGCCATATGACTGAGGTTATGTGACTGAGGTTATGTGACTGAGGTTATGTGACTGAGGCCATATGACTGAGGTCATGTGACTGAGGTTATGTGACTGAGGTTATGTGACTGAGGCCATATGACTGAGGTTATGTGACTGAGGTCATGTGACTGAGGTCACATGACTGAGGTTATATGACTGAGGTTATATGACTGAGGTTATATGACTGAGGTTATGATGGCAATATAATGGAAAGCTTTAAAAGGTTCACACACTCAACCCATCTTTGGTCTAAGTGTTAGCCAACTTACATAACTAAAAGAATGTTTCGCAACATTTTTACCCAAATATTTTTGCAAACTTGTGGAATAAATGACAAGTTGTGAGTTTGTAAGTTATTTTAGGAGCTTGTAGTCTATTTATAGAATCAGCACGCCGAAAGAGGAATAACATTAATAGAAAGCCTGTAGCGTTTTTCTATTAATAGATACAAATGTTACTATGTTGGGATTTAAAAAATCAATAATAAAGAACAATAACTTTAAAGGTAATGATAATGAACAATAAACCTAAAGCTAATGATAAAGAACAATAACTCTAAAGCTAATAATAAAGAGCGATAACTGTGAAACTCATGGGCAGATAACTCAAAGGTTGGTAGCTCGTTGCTGCTGTCTAGTCCTACACGTCATTGTATTAAGGTTTCCTTAACGCGGTATAAATCGTGTATCTTAAGACGTATGTCCTTGTTTTCTCGAAGTGAGTTAAATAAGTGTAATCAGCGTGGGTGCTACAGTTGCTGGGGCGCGGGTTTGTTCACACACTCTATCAGAAGCCATAGAGCGTGCTCTTATAACGCTATGAGTGAGTGGTAATTAACAGGGAGGTTATCTAACCTAACCTCACCTCACCTCACCTCACCTAACCTAACCTAACCTAACCTAACCTAACCTAACCTAACCTAACCTAACCTAACCTAACCTAACCTAACCTAACCTAACCTAACCTAACCTAACCTAACCTAACCTAACCTAACCTAACCTAACCTAACCTAACCTAACCTAACCTAACCTAACCTATCCTAACCTAACCTAACCTAACCTAACCTAACCTAACCTAACCTAACCTAACCTAACCTAACCTAACCTAACCTAACCTAACCTAACCTAACCTAACTAACCTAACCTAACTAACCTAACCTAACCTAACCTAACCTAACCTAACCTAACCTAACCTAACCTAACCAAACCTAACCTAACCTAACCTAACCTAACCTAACCTAACCTAACCTAACCAATTGTAAGGCAGACGCCTTGGCGATCTCTCTGAATACCTCCCCTCCCCCACGCCATCGGAGAAAAAAGTCTGAAAGAAACTCTGGTCCCCTAGTTCGTTTTAGTCATCGAATGTAGTGGCCCACCGTGTCCCTATTGTAGGGCGCTCTTTAAAACTAATATAGGCGTCACAGTGGTGATCGTGTCACAGAGTTTTGTAAACATTTATTTTAAAAGGTCTCAGGTCTCAGGTCTCAAGTTATGTTAACATTTATTTCAAAAGGTCTCAGGTCTCAAGTTATGTTAACATTTATTTCAAAAGGTCTCAGGACTCAAGTTTTGTTAACATGTATTTCAAAAGGTCTTAGGTCTCAAGTTTTGTTAACATTTATTTTGAAAGGTCTCAGGTCTCAAGTTTTGTTAACATTTATTTCGAAAGGTCTCAGGTCTCAAGTTTTGTTAACATTTATTTCAAAAGGTCTCAGGTCTCAAGTTTTGTTAACATGTATTTCAAAAGGTCTTAGGTCTCAAGTTTTGTTAACATTTATTTCGAAAGGTCTCAGGTCTCAAGTTTTGTTAACATGTATTTCAAAAGGTCTTAGGTCTCAAGTTTTGTTAACATTTATTTTCAAAAGGTCTTAGGTCTCAAGTTTTGTTAACATTTATTTCGAAAGGTCTTAGGTCTCAAGTTTTGTTAACATTTATTTCGAAAGGTCTCAGGTCTCAAGTTTTGTTAACATTTATTTTCAAAAGGTCTTAGGTCTCAAGTTTTGTTAACATTTATTTCGAAAGGTCTTAGGTCTCAAGTTTTGTTAACATTTATTTCGAAAGGTCTCAGAAGGTCTTGATAGGTCATAACCCTTGCAGGAACAAAACCTGTAAAGCTACGAGACATGACAGTCATTGGATGACCTTGACCCCCTCACGTCCTCGAGGGTTGCATGACTCCAGCCATATTTTAGAGCCATAAAAACTGACCGTTTTTCTGATATGAAGAGAATCGATTTTTCCACGTGACTTTCTGGAAGATTCTGGCGGGAACATTTCTTTAATCTGGTCACGTCTGCACACATCAGGTTATCGGTCGTCTGCACTCACCTACCCCCACCACCCGTTACCCTGCTCAGTGGTATCCTTCTGACTCTACATTTCTCAGACTCTCTCTCTCTAACTATATATATATATATATATATATATATATATATATATATATATATATATATATATATATATATATATATATATATATATAGTGTATGTATATCACTATCACTCTAAATAATCTCGTGCCCTCTCTCTCTCAACACCTACACTCTACACAACTACACAACACTACACAACACCACACACTACATTCTCAATACACACAACACTACACACCACTCACCACACAACCCTATTACACCACAATTTTAAAATAAATGAATTATAATTAGAGTCCACAAAACTAACTTGTGAGCTCATACTGCGACAGGAGCCCCAACAAAACAACTCTCGACGATTTTTAACTTTTATTGTCTCAGCTGACGTCATAAAAAATGGCGGACGATTAAAAACTTAAAATTTAAATTCCCCAGCACACAGGGGCTGCCTCGGTCTCGGTTCACCACCACCACACCCACATCCTCCGGCACACGGAACCCCAAGCTGGCCACAGCATCCACTACACCACCAGCCTACAACAGCACATCAACCGAACGCACCACCACCACCACCAGACCCACAACCACCACAGAGGGCGTCATCCTGGTGCTCGGGAACATCGATCTAGACGACCTTGACATCCCTGATGACAACACGAACTTTGACCTTGCTTACAGCAAAGGTTTGGCTAAGGACGCGACCTCGACCTTCAACATGGACGGAGTTCAGGATGACATCGACACGGGAACCAGTAGAGAATACAACCAATGTAAAATCTCGGAGAACATCGGTTCAGCTCGTGAGTAACCTGGTTTGTCAGATGATTTTTAGTGAAATCTAATTAATAATCACTTAATTAATGTCATGTTAAAGCTTAAAATAGAACCACTTTAAAGATCTTAAGATTCTATTATATGATTTAAAAAATTATATTAGGGAGTCGGTTAAAGACTACTGTAACAAAAATATGAAACATAATCAATTTAATTTTACTCATTAAAAATGGTTGAGGAAGAATGCCGTTCACGTTGGAAATATTTTTTATGATTAAATAGCTTTAGTTATTAGTTCAAGTAATGAGATAAAATAATTAGATAAAAAGTCGGATTAAGAATAGACATCCCATACGGCATGACATCAAATCCCATTTCTCTCATCCTGTTTTAAAGTTGGCCGCCATCTTGTATCTTAACGTCACTTTGGCTAATGACCCCTGACCCCTTCCAACTTGGCGGACTCTACGTCTGCCCAGCTTCCGCTGTATTTTGTCAAAACTTAATCACGTGGTTTAAGGGAATTGTCAAATTGTTGTCATTTGAAAATCACATCCGCAGACCTCGGTAAATTGTAGGCTCAGGGCGCTGTGTGTGTGTGTGTGTGTGTGTGGAGGGGGGGAGGAGGGGGGTGGGAAAAGGAGGAGGGGAGTTATCTCTTGAAAGTGTCGCTGGTTTAAGAAATTTGTGTTTAGCCAGATTTTTTGTCCGGAATTCTAGCGGTGTTAGCTTCCACCAGCAGTGCATGGGGGTGGGGGGACGAGGGGGGGGGGGGGGGGGTGGGAGGGGGCAGATGTTTTTATTTGGTGGTCGCCATCTTGACGACTGCATAGTAGACATGTAACAGGTAGATGACAAATGTCCATAAAGGTCATTGGGATCACTGTCAGCTGACGAGAGGAACATGTCACTGACATCTGAGTGACATCTGAGTGACATCTGAGTGACATCTGAGTGACATCTGACTGACATCTGACTGACATCTGACTGACATCTGACTGACATCTGACTGACATCTGACTGACATCTGACTGACATCTGACTGACATCTGACTGACATCTGACTGACATCTGACTGACATCTGACTGACATCTGACTGACATCTGACTGACATCTGACTGACATCTGACTGACATCTGACTGACATCTGACTGACATCTGACTGACATCTGACTGACATCTGACTGACATCTGACTGACATCTGACTGACATCTGACTGACATCTGACTGACATCTGACTGACATCTGACTGACATCTGACTGACATCTGACTGACATCTGACTGACATCTGAGTGACATCTGAGTGACATCTAACTGACATCTGACTGACATCTGACGGACAGTTTGTGTGTTCACTGTTGCCACGTGACTTGTGAGACAAACAAAAGCTGATTAACAAATCAACTTTTCTCTTCTCTAAAAGTGCCAGTACTTTTGTCAGATCCCTCCATTGGACCCCTCCCCCCCCCAATCCCCAACCTCCCCCCCCCCCCCCTTCAATGTTTTGATCCAGTTAATGAACACAACAGTCTATTGTTCTGGTCAAGTAAGAAATGTGATCCTTCAGCTGACCGAATCTAATTTAAAATGGACGTTTTTAGTTCATGAGGCGTACAGTCATTGTTTCAAATATAGAATTTTCTGGTCTAGAGTACACCTACATTAGCTGGTCATTACACCTGCTGTCATTACATTGCTGTCATTACATCGCTGTCATTACATCACTGCCATTACATTCATGTCATTACATCCATGTAATTACATAGCTGTCATTACATCGCTGTCATTACATCACTGCCATTACATTCATGTCATTACATCCATGTAATTACATAGCTGTAATTACATCGCTGTCATTACATCCATGTCTTTACATCGCAGTCCAACACTGTCGTAATGGCGTCATCACATTTCACACTTAGCTCAACAATGATAACAGACACACACACACACACACTATATATATATATATATATATATATATATATATATATATATATATATATATATATATATATATATATATATATATATTAGTTTTCCCAATGAAAGTGCATCTATTTATGTAAGAGGTGGTTTAAATCAAGCCCCATTAAAAGCCTTGCCGAATCGCACGTAAGAGTAAACTATTCTCGTATCCAAAATTAGATCAAGTTTTCGATTAACTTTTAGATTTGATCCGACTATTTCCGGTGAGTTAAAGGGCAGAGGTCACAGGATAACTCCATCCAATCCAGTTGAACTGGATGAGTCCACTGAAAGTTGGATGTACTAGGACGCTGAAATCGCCCCGGAAGATCTAGAATATTCTAGAATCAGATTTTGTCCCGTTTCATTTTCCTCTGCTCTGTGAGTTCATCAGTGGTCAGGGGCAGATAAGAACGTATATCGTCTGGTAGAAATCGAATTATCTCCCCTCTGGTCACTCTTGGCCTTTCGATGAGAGTCTAAAATTAACCCCTTCACGTCCGCAGTGATTAATGAACTCTTGACATTGTCCATGTCCAGCTTTCTATAAATAGCCTGGTGTACCTGACATAATCAGTTTGACATATTTTTTTTTTAGAAAATTAGGTTTGGGCTGACCTCGGAAAACTTTTTCTGATGTCTTTCAATTATTTTTTATTATACCGGCTATTTCTGATGTCTTTCAATTATTTCTGATGTTTCCAATCAAGCAGAGCAGGAAGTTGTTAACTTTTAAATAAAATTTAGTTTTTGTTTACCCTGGCCTGCCTGTATAGCGACACAATTTGTCATTAAATAAAATGTTGATATGTGGCTGTCATAGAATGAGACTGACCCAGGAAGCCAGAAAATTAGGTGACTTATTGGTAGGTACATTATAATCAGGACTGGAAATTGTATGAAGTTTTATTTGGACTTAAGCTCATTATATAAGCAAGAAAAAATGCTTTGTATACAAGCGGATTTTATTGAATTCCTTTAAAAAATGTTTGTATACAAACGGATGTTATTGAATTCCTTAAAAAATGTTTGTATACAAACGGATTTTATTGAATTCCTTAAAAAAATGTTTTGTATACAAACGAATGTTAAAGAACACATTGATTGAAACAGGAAGTAGTTTTCTACAAAGCTGTTGAGTTTCACACGTTGCTATGACAACCCTACGAGACATTGAGAACCATGGCCATTTCACACTTTAGTTGTGTGGATAGCTGTCTGTCTTATTACTCTCTGACACATCTTGTTAGAAAATATTTAAAAGTTCAGGCAAAATTTGGAAAAGGAAAAAAAATCGATATAATTAAAAGACGTTGCTGCTTGTAAAATGTATTTGTAAAGGTGAAAAAAAAATATTAATCTGTTGCTAGATAGATACAAATTGTATGAAATACAAGTAAACTAGAACCAATCAACTCAAGGAATGATTAAAAGAAAAATGCGCACAAATGTGCAACAGAACATTTTGAAAACAGAAATTTGCGCATAGAAGAAATCACATACAGAAAATTACGCACATAGAAAATACTCAAAGAGACATTTCTGTCCAGAGATAAATTCGAAAATTTTTCCTAGCTCCCAAAGCTGCTATTTGCACTTTTTAAGTGCGCATTTTTTCTGGAAAACAATTGCACTATATAATGTTAGGGCAACAGCCACACATGCCAGATAAATATGATGTGCCAGATAAACATAGTAGTGTTGACCAAACAGGCTCGATGAAGAAAGTCCGGGTATTTTGATGCGTTATTTTTGACGAATCATTTAAATTCTGACACTAACTTGATCCAAGCATAACAAAACGACCCGAGCTACAATAACTTTCGATTAAGTATCTATCAATTCATTAAGCTAATTGCTGACCCAATTATTCTCTCGAGCAGTCACGTGCCCAGCCACACGCGGCAAGCCGGGGAGCCGGGCCACCTTCTACCTGCTCTGCTACACCGGCTTCTTCGCCATCGAGTGCCGCTGCCTGCCCGGACACTTCTACAACCGCTGTCTGCAGAGCTGTGACGTCAACGCCAACTTCCGGAAGTGTCCCTTGGTGCATTAGCTCTGACGTCAGCAGGCCGTGGTGTGACGTCAGCAGGCCGTGGTGTGACGTCATCAGGCCGTGGTGTGACGTAGAAACTCTCATATTTCACCGTGTTGTTTGGTCAGATCACATGACCTGATAGCACGGCCTTGATTGGTCCAATCCCACCAGGAGCAGACGACATTATCTAGCAGAACTCTGGAAACCATTTCTTAAACCAGAGGGCGGGAAGATAATCTAGTGCAGGGAGGTCATGTGTTAGTAACGGTATGTATATATGTATGTATATCACGATGTTAAATTGACTTTTATAAACTGATGTCGCTGACTAGTAACTTATTATTTTTTATAAATTTGATAAACATGTTGGATTATGTAGAATTAAAGCTAACGGATGAAATAACAAACATTAAAAAATAATTGTGTAATTTGTTTTGGTTTTATGTTTCTAACTTTAATATTTTTTTAACTAATTAGAGCTGTTTTTTTAATTATTTATAATGGATCATGTTTTGTTTCACTTATGCTAATGCAATTTGTGTTGACTCGCGTTAATAAATGTACATATTTCTTTTGCTTATATTGAAGATTGTGAATAAACTACACAAATATTTGTGAGAATTAAGTCTTTATACTCTGTCTTTTGTATTGTTAACTTTAATCAATTTTTGTCGTTGATTTATAATTCAATATTATTGACGATCAGTCATACACAACAGTTTGTTGGATGAGCAAGTCATACAACACAGATTGTTGGACGAGTCACTAAACAAATTACTTGTGTCTGTGTTAGACAATAATGGGTCCATTGATTATCGCGAAACTCGTGAAATTAAAGTGTTCCAATTTGTCTTTGATTTTCGTGTCTGCTGTAATCGGTTTGTCAAAGTAATCGTCTGACCGATGACTTGTGTCGTCTGGTCGGGGAGTAGAACTGGAGCAGTCATTGACCTCTTGACGTCATGGCGGGGCTGGACTAGGTTGGTGGAGGTCGTGTGTGGTTGTATGTGGTTGTGTGTGGTTGAGTGTGGTTGTGTGTGGTTGTGTGTGGTTGTGTGTGGTTGAGTGTGGTTGTGTGTGGTAGTGTGTGGTTGTGTGTGGTTGTGTGTGGTTGTGTGTGGTTGAGTGTGGTTGTGTGTGGTAGTGTGTGGTTGTGTGTGGTTGTGTGTGGTTGTGTGTGGTTGTATGTGGTTGAGTGTGGTTGAGTCTGGTTGTGTAGTAGGTAATGTATATCTATGTATGTGTGAAAGTGTATATATATATATATATATATATATATATATATATATATATATATATATATATATATATATATATATATATATCTTTTGTGTGTGAGTGAGGGAGTTCGTATGTATGTCTTTGTAAGGCGCCAAAGTGCAGACGACGAAAACATGGCCTGCACTAGGGATTTACCTGTAGTCAACCCCCCCCCCAGCAGAGTTTCTTCTTGGCACCTGTTCGGGGGGGGGGGGGGGAGGGGGAGCCACCCCGAAAGGAGTCTACCGCCCCTCCCCCCCCCCCCCCGAACGAAATGGAATTTATATAGGAATTATAAACTTTTTGACAGTATACCGCCCCCCCCCCCCCGGAAACTTTAGCCCGCCCGCCACCCCCCTTGAAATTTCAAGTGCACCCCCGGAGAAAAAAAAGTCTGGAAGAAACACTGCCCCCCAGTGTTATGTAACAAGATAGAGCTACAATAGTTTACCATAACACGCGAACTATCAACATGAATGTTTTATCAAGTTTATGTTTTACACTTTTTTCATCAAATGCAAGCAACAGAAAAAACAACATCTTGTACAGCACATTATGAACTATTTTTATATCAGATAGAATACTACACTCTTCCTTCTAGTGTAAAAACTAGAGACGTTCAATACGGTCTTGTCAAACTTGGTGTAGCTGTCTGTCACACCTCGTTAGCTTGCCGTTCTTGGTTTCCATTGGAATAAAAAGAAAAGTGAAAATAAATCTAAATCAAATTAGGGAAAAAAATCCAATCTAATATTCAAAGAGTCGACCTGAGCGTGAATTAACTGGTCACGTGCAATCTTGACGGGAACCACGTGATGGGCTTCAACGAACTTTAGCATTTTTTTCTTCTGTACAATCAGGAGCTTCTTCTTTGTTTTGTTTTTATTCACCGGATACGTAATAATTTGTCTCTCCTTCAAACGCCATTTTGTTGGTTATTTGAGAAAAACATGGATTGGATGAAACATAAAACTGCGCTTTTCTTTTAAAATAAAAAATGAAAGAAAACAGAGAGGCTGATGTTCACGTCAGCTTAAGTTCACGTCATCTAATGTTCACGTCAGCAGATGGTCACGTCGTCTTGTCTACTGTATCGTCGAGTCGATTAAAATAAATTTCAACAGCTGAAATCTAAAGGTCTCGCCAATAAAAAAAACAAGCAACAAATTTGCTGTCTCTCGCTCACATAATTTTGTGATACTAGCGCCCTCAACTCACAGACCTGATCAAACGATCTGTCTGTCTGTCTGTCTGTCTGTCTGTCTGTCTGTCTGTCTTTCTGTCTGTCTGTCTGTCTGTCTGTCTGTCTGTCTGTCTGTCTGTCTGTCTGTCTGTCTGTCTGTCTGTCTGTCTGTCTGTCTGTCTGTCTGTCTGTCTGTCTGTCTGTCTGTCTGTCTGTCTGTCTGTCTGTCTGTCTGTCTGTCTGTCTGTCTGTCTGTCTGTCTGTCTGTCTGTCTGTCTGTCTGTCTGTCTGTCTGTCTGTCTGTCTGTCTGTCTGTCTGTCTGTCTGTCTGTCTGTCTGTCTGTCTGTCTGTCTGTCTGTCTGTCTGTCTGCCTGCCTGCCTGCCTGCCTGCCTGCCTGCCTGCCTGTCTGCCTGTCTGTCTGTCTGTCTGCCTGCCTGCCTGCCTGCCTGCCTGCCTGTCTGCCTGCCTGCCTGCCTGCCTGTCTGTCTCTCTGTCTTTCTGCCTGCCTGTCTGTCTGACAGAGGTTAAAAGTTAAATAAAAGCTTGTAAAAAAAGTCTTTGATTATAGTTACAAATCACACCAATCTAAAAAAATAATAATTCGAAACTGAAAAATATAAACTAAAAAATAGGACTAAAAAAATCTGGGCACTCAATATTGAAAATGAACATACATTATACATAGGTCATATATTTATTGTAGTTAGTAACCGTATCAATGACCTCCCTATAAAAGGGGACATAACATACACATTTTGTGTGTGTTGTTTTTGTGCTCTTGTGTACTATGAGTGTCCTACCTGTGTATCCAACAAGTATGTGTGTGTTGTTTTTGTGTTCTGCCTAAATGTCCTACTGAATGCCCTACTGAATGCCCTACTGAATGCCCTACTCAATGCCCTACTCAATGCCCTACTGAGTGCCCTACTGAATGCCCTACCTTTGTGCCATAAACCAGTGCCCCCCCTCCCCACCAACAAGACTTTGCACCGAGAACTCATGTGAAAACAAAAACTAATTACCTGCTGTAAGTGTAAGTGCCTCAGGGTAGAGAGCAGAAACCTTTCATCTGTGTCAAGTTTCACATGTAGACAGCCGTGTAGATTTACAGCTGTAGACAGCCGTGTAGATTTACAGCCGTACACAGCCGTGTAGATTTACAGATGTAGACAGCCGTGTAGATTTACAGCCGTACACAGCCGTGTAGATTTACAGATGTAGACAGCATGATGTGCAGACGAGCGTTTCTTTCATACTTTTTTCTCCGGGGGGTGGGGCGCTTGATATTTTCAAGAGGGCTAAAATTTCCGGGGGTGGGGCGGACACTGGTAAAAGTATACATTTTCTATTTAAATTCCACCTCGTGGGGGGGGGGTATACCCCCCCCCCCCCGCGAATAGATGCCTGATAGAATCTCTAGATAGCGTCGACATCTACCAACAATAACATGCCCAAAAGCGTGGCGTTGTATAAAACTACATCCTGTGACGTATCAGCCACACCGGAAGTGATGACATCTTATATCGTGACGCTGTGCCACCGCGGCGCAAGAATTATTCCAAACGTCACCATTCACAAATGTTGAAATCATCCTCGTCTGTTGCCATGGTAACTACGCGCCTACCTGTTTACTGGCGCTTATGTTCCTGTAGATTACCCTCGTCAAATTGATTTCAAATTTCTGTTAAGTCGGGGCATTCATGAGAACATGAGACAAAACAGACAGACAGCAATCATTTAGTGCTTTATGTCGACAGAAATGTTTACAACCTACTCAAAGGAAACGTCACATTCATCTGATTTATTCATTTCGCATCAAAGGAAATATTTTTCCGCATCAAAGGCTTGTTGAAAAACATAGATTAGATGATCAAGAAAAAAAGATTTTGCTAAATATCTTGAAAATTTAGCAAGGAAATTGAACTACTGTAATCGTATCTTGTCGAATGGGAAACATTTCGATAAATCAGATTACAAAAATGCAAAATACAATTTGCAGTACATTTTCAGTAACAAAATTGACTAAGAACAAATGTTGTGTCACTGTAAAGATTAAAAGTTATCGCCAGGACAAAGTAAACGAGAAAAAGATTCCAAAATTCAGCGGGTGTGAATGTCGCCCACAGGTTGTTGTTAGGTCAAATGGTAGCTCAGGTTATAAAACAGCCGGAGGTAAGAACCGGTTAAACGCGGTCAATGAACCGACATCTTAAACTGGCAGGATGGAACTTTTAATTGTCCTGCTTTCAGCCCCACTAATTAGTGTCTACCTGGGATGCTAATTAGTCAAGCCAATCAAGCTAACATAAAACTTGCACATAAGTTTAAAAACTATTTCATAATGCCACGAGGTTACACGATTTTCAAATCCCAGACGGGGTGTCCTTAAAGTCCCGGGGTTTAGTTCAACATTCCGGTAATGGCACTGAAAATATTGCTCTCGATTTAGCTGCTTGAGCTAAGGTGCAAAGGATTTAACTCACGTGATAGTACATATCAAGATCACGTGATATTGAGACGTCACAGAGCTGTCGGTTGTCTGTCGACTTCCTGTCACGTGTGATCAGTATATCCTGTCACGTGTGATCAGCATTTTTAGTAAACCCGGCGTTCTGGCTAGGGCTTGCACTGGCTGGCTATATTTGCTACATTATGATGTCATTACCAAACATAAAACGATAGTTTTGCTTAATCTAGCACAGCAGATCCCATAAATAAGTTGTGTTTTTTTGTTACCTTGTAACACTATTGTAAGCTGTAGAATTAAACCGTTCGTTCGTAAATTACAAATGTATTTGTAAAGACTTAAAA